ATATGTTAGGGTTAACCCTATAAAATAAATTTTCTTGAAATAAAAATAAAAAATATTTTTGGCTGTATAAATGAAACCTTTGGCTGATATAATAAAAAAAGTCGACTGTCAAATTTTGTCAAAAGTCAACTGTCAAATCAAAAAAAAGAGTTTAAACTACATAAAAAAGTAACACGCTTGAATAAGTACTAACTATTACTAATGAATTACCTATTACCTTAATTACAGGTAAATAGGATAAGTGGAGGTTAATGCTTTTGTGTCAATGGTGCTAACTTTTCTAATGGCACCTAGGTCATTGTACGTAAGATAGATATGGTATGGAAATATAACTTCGTTTGTGAGATTATTTGAATTCGTTTAAATAAAATTGAATTTATGTTTTGCATATTATTTACGTAGCTTTGTTTATTACACGTAACAATTGGCGTAATATCTGTTATAATACGATATATGTAAGTGTTATATTCTCCAACAATGAAATATATGAAAAAAATATTTAAATTATTTATAAAATTCTTACTCTTATTATGAATATTTTGAGTAATATTTTAAATAAATATATAGAAAATATTAAGAATTTTAGGAATACTTCTGTATGGCAACATTTTTTCTCGCGTAATGTAATCTATACTATGTTTTCTAACCGGACCTACTCAATTTCATCTAGTTTATCTCCAGGGTACGTCAGCTATAAATAATAAATGTTATATTTGATTCGTCAGAGTTCAGTACTTATTAAGTTATTAATGTATACAGCTCAGACCTAAGATGTACTTTCTTACATTCCAGGCCTAAGGGACCCATACAATATGTATCCACATTAATATGCGTTCTCAGTTAATGAATAAACAGTAATGACACATTCTACTTACATTATATTACCGTTAAATGTAATTAATTTAAAAGAAAATTCGACTAAAAAGAAATTATTTACGAACTATGCAAGTAAGAAATATGTATTTTATATAAATTAAAACAGTTAAAATGGTTAAATAGTTTAGTTTAAGTACGTAATAGTAGATTGATTTATAAAAATTATTATTTTGTAACGGGAGACAAAATTGACGTGCTGTCAACGGGACCTGTCAAAACTTGTGCAATCATTCATTGAAGTTTGTGGCTCTATAACTGAGGTTCTTTGCCTTATTTATATTATTTTTATTTAAAAAGCATGAATTATAAAAACTATATAAATATTTTAACATATAAACATCGATATTAGGTAGTCGAATACGAGTCTTTGGTAATGGATTAAGCATTTTAAGTCTTATTAATAAACAAAGATACAAAAAAATATAAAACAAAGATAATAAATTAATGAATTCCGTAGGTATTTTAATGTATCTTTTTATTTATCTATGCCAATTTACTTGGCATTTATTTGTTGTGTTCGGCCAAATAAAACCATGTGTGGAGAATTTATTCGTCTTTATTTGACGTATTTGCACAAATAGGACATATACACGAATAAACTAAATCGCGTAAAGACGTGTTGTTACGCCAAGTGTGGATATCATGTTTGTGCTGTTTGGACTACTTACAAATTCTGAAGAAAGTGAGTGTCAATGAATTAAATGTTTTACACATAAATTATCATTATTATATATGTAATAAAAGATATAAACAAACCTCCAAGTAATAATTACATAATTGTCTCGGAGTGAATCGTAATCGTTTGTTGCTGGTGTCAACTTATTAGGAAATCTGTTTGGAAAACTTTTACTTATCAAATGAATTGGGTTATCTTGTTTGTTACATTATCAGTTTGGCGGTAGGTTTAAATTATTGCTGGTACGTTGTTTATTGTGTGTGAATTAAATCTATTAATATTTTCATCTATTTCTTTTATTTCGTCTCTTATTGTAAAACAGTATAATTTAAATGTCATTTTTTTGTAATAGTTTTTAGGGCTTGGATACGAGTCCTTTTGAGCCTAATGTCATCCATTCGGTCAATTGTATTGCCAGAAAGATTATTTTTATTAAACGATTAGGGCTCAAAAGAGTATGAAAACAATAAAATATTTCCTATTATTGTTTTATGATAAAGTTACATTTTTTTTAGACAGCACCAAAATCTTATAAGCGTATCTCCCAGCTTTATAAAATTCAGAAAGCCTTAAAATTAAAGTAATTGCAATTATTTTATGACTTTCACTATTACAGCCATTTGCCAAAAAAAATATGCACATTAAAAAAATAAATCAAATGCCATCAAAATAACACAATTCTGTATAATATTATAATCATTTTTGAATTAAAATAATAACCTTAATTAAGGTTAAGTTTAATCCATTCAACGCCTCGTCAAACAAACGAGGGTTTTAACAAATTCAAGATATCATATTATGGATACGTTTATAAACTTCTTAAACAAATAAACTTATAATAACGTCCAAAGAAAAATATTATTGAATCAATACAAAGCAGGTAAAGTTTTATACTTAGTCATTATTTTAACTTTAAAATTTATAAATAATTCTTAACACTATCTCTTACCCGCGACATCGTTCGTTTTTAGAGATTGTTATTGATTTTTCCATACTAAAACCTACACAAAATTTAACATACATAAAATTTTATTATACAAACATATTAACAGTATTTTTTTATTTGACCTCTTATAGGTATATACATTTTAAATAAAATGTCTCCGTTAATATGTAATTTTATAAATAAATAAAGCTATTTTCTGTTTAAGTGTCTTCAAACTACGATTCTAATAAACTAAACATATTTATTATCTTTATATTTAATAATCTATAAAAAGTGAATGACCAACGTGCTAATAATATGTAGATTACATCACTAGTATTAAGAAAAAACTTTCGAGTTTGTTTTTTTTTTTGACAAAAAAGGTAATCGAACTCATATAATTATAAATATGACCTCTAAATTAGCTGTATCTTGATATGAATTGGGGAAAAATTTTAATGTTATCAACATCTTTTATTTAGGTAAATTTTTATGTTATGGCAATAATTTTTGGTATATTTTTTTATGTGTTAATGTTTATAGTACCCTTTAATTAAATACGTTGAATAATATTCCTTACTATAATTTGAGAAGTATTTAACACGATATATTTACATAAAAATTTTCAGATCACGCTCCTTAGGTTTTCCGTTTCTCATTGAGTGAAAACTTTCATAATGTGCAAAGTTTTTTTATGAAATAATGTTAAATCTGCTTGTACTCTTACTTAAAGATACGATTTTCCAAAGAAACTCTTGCAGTTACTAAGAAAATAGAGAATCATGAGATATTAGTCGATTAATTTAAACAATGAACATTCTTTGTAACACTCATAATTCTGGCACCCTTAAAATTGATGATATCTTCAATTAAATACAATGAATCAGTGTATCATATGATTATTAATTATTATTAGTACATTCTTTTGAATTCAAACAATACAAAATGGCCAAAACTATGCTTAGCTTCCACATACTCAATATGAACTATGAAGTATCATGATACGGAGTCATGAAAAAAATTCTTGATCAAAAAACTATATACATACAACTATGTAGTTTTCCACCCGCAGCTTCACCCGCGTTGAGTTCGGTTATATCGCGTTTCCAAGAGAATCTTTCAAAAATCTGTGATAAAAACTATCTTATGTTCTTTCTCAAGGTCAACTCTATCTCTGTACCAAATTTCATTAAAATCAGTTTAGTGGTTTAGGCGTGAAAGCGTAACAGACAGACAGACAGAGTTACTTTCGCATTTATAATATTAGTAGGGATTGGTAAAATATAACATATTTAGTTTCAATATGTAATAGAAAACAGCATATCATCTCATCATACATCTGTAACTGTTAATAATATCAAAATATATGAACAATAGGTTTCACAGATTACAACAAAAAATGGCATATGGTACGTAATTGAATTGATTAATTACTAACATGTAACAATCACGAGAATGCCGGTGCATATTTCAAGGAAATATTCACACAATACATACCGCATAATAGAACATGAATTATACGTACATAATAATTTTAACCTCTCTTCCAACAGATATATTTTCCTTGAAATTATATTATAAAATGTTCATTTCGTCCTCCATTAATTATACAACACGTTATGCTTGGGTTTGAATACGAATTATACAGTAAATAACTTGTCTATACAAAAGTTTAAATAATGTTTGTTATGACAACAATGTACAAAACAAAGCTATGGTGGCGCATGGAATTCGTCAAAGTATTTTTACGAAGTAAGCAATGCGCATGCGCTAGAAAGCGTATTTCGTAATCCCGCGCCAATATAACCAATTATGTCCGAGACAAAAATCATTATAACACACACCATTGGACCGTTTTATATCTATTATTCGGACGCCGGCGGCAACGAATGGTTAGAACGAATTTGGAGGCAAAAATACCGGTTAGATCTTTGATGTCATACTTATTAATTATTGTCTTTTTTTTATTTAAGCTACGGTATTATTCACACTGAATTTATGGAATATTTTATTAATGTCAAAATAAATTATTATTTTTATTTATGACGTATTGACAGATTCTAGTCGGCTTGTATAATAAGAAAATATTGTAGTGTCAAAATATAGGAGTATTTATTATGATAATTTTATGATGTATTTTTAAAGTGTATAATTTATTCATTGTATTGTCATCTGTATCAAAGTTTGGAGTCAAAGTTCGTGAGATGAGTTACTAAGATAAATAAACGTCTATTTATGAATGACGTGTGATCTCTCCTTATCTTGTGACGAGTGATGACTTGTTTGTAAATGTATAGAAAACTTTCTAAGAACGCATTGTTCGATGTTCACGATCATAAGAACAGTTAATGGTAACAAAACGTAATAGTTTATACTTCCTCTTTGTGATTTAAATATAAAAAAAAACTCCAAACTTAACTTCTCTTTGTTAGCTCCATAAAAATTCGTCAAGAAGAAATATTAACGAATTATTTTGATACTCCAAACGGATTAAATGGCATTGAAAGATAAAATCTCTTACAGATGATGTTAGTTACCAGATATGGTCTTTTCCTGATCGCTTCAATCTTAACAATAGTGAAGGCTGAACTACCAGGTACTTCCAGCACGAACGAAATAAACCAGACCCCAAAAAGACGATCCACATTTATAGGGGGTACATTATACCCCCAAGCATCAGAGACAAGAGACCTAAAAAGACTGGACGGCATATGGAAATTCAGAAAATCACCCACCGACCCTGAATACGGTCAAAGGAATGGCTGGTACGAACAGGATCTAGAAAAGGTAAACATAAAACTTATTATTATATTAAAATGCTAATTTTAACAATATATTATGGGACATTTTTTTTAAGTAATAATAATTAACTGATTAAGTCCTGATAAGTATTCAGTGTTACCTCGTTACAAGTTTATTGTACCCATAGTCCACGCTCGGTCAACAACGAATCTGGTTTCTCAAGGATATAACTCGCTTTATTATTTTTACACCTACAACCTAAAAGATTTAATATTTTTGATGTATACATAATATATTATATAATAATTATACGGGAAGTACAAGATGTTAAAAATTAGTAATTATTTTTTAAAAATTGTCTAAGTATTTCTTTAAATTCAGTCTTTACCTATATTATTTTTTCTTTTTAATATACGGCTTAATTCAAGCATAAAAAAAATTACACCTGACAGTTTTCTAATTAATTAAATTTGTTAAACTGTGTAAATATCTCTCCTTTTTACTTCAGACATATTGTCAATTTAAAAAAAAACTAGATCGATTTTAAAGGTAGAAAATGCTAATTCCATGCTATAATTTTATATAAATTTTGATAACGAATGATCTAAATTTATAGTTCAAGAACGAGAATTCTTTTAAATCTGAATAAAACGAAACTGCGTCTCAAATATATAAAGTCACTTCAAAGATAATGCTTGGTTCTTGGATAGGTTATAAAAAAAAATCTCCCACGAGAAACACTGGCACTAAAATCAAAAGCATACCTACGTGTGTATTTATTATCTGTATAGGATTTCTTATTTTGATAATCTATGAAGCATGAAACTTTTTTAAAAAATACTCGTTAAATATTACTTAATATAATAAAATTACCCGCGGATTTCCGATATTTCTGGGATGTAAAGTATCCTATGTGTTATTCCTTGACGTCAGCTTCCTGTATACAAATATTTATCAAAATCAGTTCAACCGTTTGAGCGTAAAGAAGTAACATACACACACACACTCACAAACTTTCGCAATTATAATATTAGTAGGAAGGATATATATACTTATATAAAAATCAAAACTGAAGAATGAAAACTGAACTTATATAAGAATGAAAACTGATATACAGGGTGACTGGTGAATTACTATCGATACTTGAGGACGTGATATTTGACGATCATATATGACAAAATAAAAATTAATATAACATAAATATTAAAGTCGTATAAATTCTTGATAAAACTTCTTAATATCACTAGACTGGTCCGGTGATTGATATGCCGGTGCCTTCTTCATACAACGACGTGGGCGAGGATCCTTCTTTGAGGGACCACGTTGGCCTGGTGTGGTATGACCGACGTTTCTACGTCCCAGGCTGGTGGCAGACCACGGGACAGCGAGTGTGGCTGAGATTCAGTAGCGTACAATATGCTGCTCTAGTTGTAAGTATAGCTAGATAATAAGAATTAAGAAGACATTTGTACTAGAAGGTTGAAGAATAACATTTACATTTATTTGTCATAGTATTACTTGAGTGTTCTGTGTTTTAGAAATAATCCGCTTTGAAAACTAACTTATCGATTCGGTTTAAGTTTTATTTGATGTATTAGCTAAATGTGTCCAAGCCTCCTAGGCTCTAATGAATCTAAACTAATTCCGTATGTCGCACCGTCGTCTGTTCTAAAAAGAATACAAACTATTCAAAACTAATTAAAATTTTAGATTACAGTTCAATATACATGTTCCATAGTCCATAATATATTATATGCGATATAATAGAAACATCTATTTAATATAGATATGTGTAATAAGAATTGACATTGTTGTTAGTTACTTCGTAGCACTTAATTTATCTGTAGCCTTACCACGAGTGTGTACGGTCGCGTCAGACTAAATACAGATAGTTTACAGTTTTCATTCACGTACGTTGTAAACTAAATTAAAACAAGAAAATACTTAATCAATTTAGGAATGCGTATAGATAAAAGTACAGATGAATTTTCATTTACATCTTTGTAAGTAACGAAGTTTTCTCAAGTGTATACGAGGCATCAACTAAATATAGGTATCTGTGTCAATCATTTGTCGCTAGCCAATTGCAAATAATTGAACAATTTGTCAGTTCAGGCGAGACTGCGCGACACTTACGAACGAATGACCGATATTGACCTAGCTTAACATCATTACATGTGGAATTTAATTTACTTTTACATCACGTCAGTATAGACTTACATAGTGAGACTTAGACTGAAGACTTAGACTTAGCGAGACTTGGAGTTAGCTTCCTTATACATATAACATTAGTTAACTGTCATCTAAAACAAAAAGTTTCAAACTGTCGTTAAAACTTAATATTCGTAATTATCGTCTGAGATTTAAAATTAATTAAAAAATATCTTTTAGTTTAAAAATATGAATAAATTTTCAACACTTAAATCAATAACTAATAAGTTGACACCTTGTTAAGCGTATTTTCAAAGATTGAAACGACGTAAACACTTAAAAGTTTTTAATATAAATGGCAATACCGTCCATATTTTACAATAATATGTAATCCGTATTTTTTGGCATATTTGATTCATTTATATATTTATAAGTAAATAAAATTAATAATTACACGTCAAATTTGACATTTCAAATGTTACATAATACAAAAAAACTTGTATTACGGTTGTATAGATATTATTCATACAATTGAACAGATGTACTTGGCGACTGAGGATCTCAAGTCTTTGACCTTAGCCATTATAAATTAGGCCTAATAGCCCGTTCAGAATTAACTGTTTAATAATAGGGCGGTGTTGTAATAACAGCCCCGTATTAACGAGCGCTATTCAGTCTAAAATGATATGAATACATACTTAAGAGTATGACTAAGTCATACAGTAAATAGCAATGTAGAAATAAAGTTAAATATTGATATTTATGTATTACTCTAAACTCTAAAGAAGGACGAGTGTCGTTGATGTATTCGATTTTTTTTTCTTATTTAATCTGTTCCTTATAAATATTATATTTGGAAACAGAAATACAGAATAAAAAAATTAATAAAATATTTGTATACACTAATTTTATGTGTATAAAAACGTATTAATTTTATGGTAATTATATCGCGATCTTATTTTTTATAATTTTGCATTTATTCATTATGTTTTATCATTTGTTTTTCTATACCAAAAATACGTTATATCCTTCCAAAAAGGTCTTTATCGATGAGCTTTGTGTAATAATTTACATTAGACTATTAAATATCAATCGTGGTATGAGTGTGGTCTTCGCACTTCATTCGTACAAATCTCTCCGATATTATGCTTCACAGCCGTTAACTGCAGATTAATTTACAATATTATGATGTAGAAATCGAGTAAATCAAGATGGAAATTATTCTGCGGCTGTCCATTGAGACATATTCTAGAGGAGTGCATGCGACGTGTTAGTGATGAAAGTTATCATTACGATATCATGACACGAACACTATCGGTTTTAATATAGTCTTCAGAAAAAGTTGTTAGTGGACACATTAAAAATTGACCTACTAAGTACTATAAAACAAAACAAGAGCACAATTAATATATTTTTTACGTAATGACAGTGACAGTTGTGACAGTATCAAGCGAAGAAAATAGAACATGCTTTTAGAGTAATGGTCATCCCATATATAATCAGATTGTGCTTAATTTAACATCTCAAAAAATATACAATTATTCTAAGAAATCCTTCATATGTACAGTCTTCGAGTACTTTAATTTATTTTAAATAGTTTTTGTATTAACATACGAACAGAGCGTTTATTGCCTTAAATCAATGTTTGACTTTAAATGTACTGACTTCAAATAAAGATTTTGGACTCGACTTATTACCATAATAGGAAGTACGGTAAACTTAATGTCATTTTAATAAGGTCTTGTTAGATAGACACTTAAATCGTCAGTCGTACGACAAAATAACTTCCTTCATTTTCAGTCCTATCAGCACGCGACATTCATGATAAAAATGAAATTTCCATTAAACATTAATTGTTATCGCTGTAAAAACTCCTTACGAATATCTGAAATATTAACATTCTTAACACATAATAAACTTACTATCGTACAACTAGAATGTTAAGTGCTTTTACAATTAACAGGATAGGCAATTGTCATGTCATGAAGATAACGTAATTTATACTAATGTTTTTTTACATGATTGTGTTCGAAATGGGGTATATATGCTAAATATCCTTTCTACCTATATACTATACCTAACGTTAAAAGGCCTATCAAGCACGAGGGCGCGGGTTCGATCCTGGCCCTGGCAAGTACCAATGTGATTTTTCCGAGTCATATGTACTTTCTAAGAGTATTTAAACATCACTGATTAATGCATTCCCAAAGAGGGTTGATGTCAGGCAGGCGGTCGGTCGTAAAAAACAATTAGCCAAAACCTATTACAACATGCAGACCCTGGCTAAAGCTGGGAAATTGCTAGGTAGAAGAAGACTATACCTAATATATGTATATACTAATATTATGAGGTGTAATAAATATGATATTTCTCCTAGTATGTGAACGGTCAAGCGGCGACTTATCATGAGATAGGACACCTTCCATTCGAAGTGGAGATCACTGATATGGTCTCATACAACACGAGCAATCTACTCACCGTCGTAGTTGACAACACATTACTCAGTGACACCGTACCTCAAGGCATTATAAAGGACATATTTGTGGGGTGAGTTTAAAAACTACTAAATTATAACATCAATACTAATATTATAAATGCGAAAGTAACTCTGTCTGGCTGTTACGCTTTCACGCTTAAACCACGGCACTGATTTTAATGGAATTTGGTACAGATATAGAGTTGTCCTTGAGAGAGAACATAGGATAGTTTTTATCCCAGACTTTTGAAAGGTTCTCTTGGAAACTCGATATAACCGAACCTCACGCGGGCGAAGCTGCGGGCGGAAAGCTTTAGTTTTTTATAATTTTCTTTGACTTAATCTAAATATGAGTACATACAAATAAATATATTTTCTATATATTATATTTGTTCATGTTTCATTTGTTGAGTACATACTTATTTATATAAAATATTTCATCAAATTACAGACATTATAATTATTATTCTATCTATTAACTAAATAATATATTTTATTTTGTTTCTCGGCTTAATATCTTAATTCATATCATTAATATCTGGCAACAATGTCGTATATAATTGAACAATACAATAGTTCTATATAATAAAACAATATTTTCTCCCCCCGGCAACGCTGTTAAGCCGCAGGGCTAACAGCAATATATCTTATAAAAGATATTTTCTCATATACGCCTTTTCGATTTATATTTATATCTCTAACCAGCTTTCCGCCCGCAGCTTCGCCCGCGTGAAGTTCGGTTATATCGCGTTTCCAAGAAAAATTTTCATAAGTCTGGTATAAAAACTATCCTGGTTTTTCTCAAGGTCAACTCTATCTCTGTACCAAATTCCATTAAAATCTGTTCAGTGGTTTAGACGTGGAAGCGTAACAGACAGACAGACAGAGTTACTTTCACATTTATAATATTAGTAGGGATAAGTTTCGAAGTAAATCTTTAATGAAACAACAAATCTTCATATTGTGTGTCGACATTAAAATCAGCTCATATATATAGGAACAACAAAATCCGTCAAGAACAGACATACACATTCGATTTCTTCAACTACGCTGGTATCCATCGCTCCGTGTTCCTATACTCAACGCCGCAAATATACATAGATGACGTCATCGTTAATACAGACATACAAGGACTCACAGGTAAGAAAACTATAGGAAAATCCGAAGCAAAAAGCCTAACTAGTCATCTGACCACTATGTCAAGTATAGGCAATATATTGGTTAATTTTAAACACGAATTTAAGGTAATTTAATTGAATATTTAGTGCATTTTTACTCTTGTTAGCAGTCTTACGAAAACAAGTAATTATTATTCTACTTCCTATAGCTAATTATACATATACAAGTAACCAAAACTCTTCATGGTTCATGAATGTAACACAATTAATATTCAAACGAGAACGGAACTCTGGATTATATCATTTTAATATCGTTACATTAATCTTCTTAAAGTATCATATTATAGCCTTCATATTAACCTTAATAAGTTTGAATAGTGTCGGTGTCAATGTGTATGTTTTATTATAAGTTTGCTTTTCAGTTGTTTTAAATAATTTAATATGAGCAAACAACAGTTTTCTCGGCCCTGGACGGCTTGAACAAATAAAAACTAGTGCTCTTCGAATTTAAACTTATTAAATATTAAACATACGTTAAATATGTATCAAATATGGCTTGGAAACAAATATTTTTGGTAAATAACTGCAAAGGACAATAATGTTTAAATATAGGATTTAAGCAACTTATAATTTCTATTATTAAAGTGATTGCTTCAAACGTTTTACGTGTAGACAAAATTTTTAAGAGACCTATTTGAGGCAAACTGTATCGAATGTAAAGAAAAAAAATACAAATAATAAACGATAGAATTTAGAATCTTTATGACAATCATACATATATCTTTTAGTTGGCTACATTGCATATAAAAGTATTAGACCGCAAAGCACCGGAATGTATTAACCGGTACAAACTACAATGCACAGATCCTATCACTGTACGCCGACAATAAGTTAACGGTTTACGAACGAGGTTGATCTGAACAGAATGCTATTAAAACATTATATAATAATATGTATTTAATACTTTATTTGAAGCTTTCTTTATTCTGTTTTGATGTGTCTGTATTCATACATTCATTTCAATGACTTCACGAGTTTACAATACATATGAAAACAAATAATCTATTGATGACATATTCAACTTTGTACTGGCATTGTAGAAATTAAACTACATATACAGGGTGACTGGTGAATTACTATCAATATTTAAGGAGATTACTCGGTACATGATTCTCATTCGAATTATGTAAAAAAAATAGGTACTTAATTTTTGACCAAATTTTCGTATAAATAAATAAAGTGTGGACACGTTCCAAGTGTTCCATGTGTGGACGCGTGTGGCGGCGTGCTGATAAAACACCACGCCGCCGCACGCGTGTGTGTATACCTAATCTGTAGGGTGTTCACACGATGCGTAATTAATTACATAACTTTTGGTTAACTTTACTCAGAAGTTTATTAATATTTATGTTATATTAATTTTTATTTTGTCATATATGATCGTCAAATATCACGTCCTCAAGTATTGATAGTAATTCACCAGTCACCCTGTATATCTATTTAATTTATTGCAAAATTTTAAGTTTATTCTTTTGTGTTTTAAACTATAGTTCTTCCTCAGGCTTCGTAGTTTATAACGTAACGTACAAGGGTAATTCGCGGGCGCAATGCTTCGTACAATTATACGACAAAGTTGGCAATCAAGTGACAGCGGCTAATGAGTGCGCTGGTCTGTTGGAGATCGGGAACGCTAACTTCTGGTGGCCTTATCTGATGCACCCGGAACCAGGTTACCTATATACTTTGAAGGTGTGTGACGAAAGACACAAGATATTATCTATACTTATTTTCTATGTCATGATTCGTGTAATACAAGTGTTTTAAGTCATTGATAATAAGAATAACATTGAGATCTTTCTTAATCATTTTCAGACGTCATTAATAGGCTCGCTCGGTGAAATTATAGATACTTACAGTCTCAAAGTTGGCATCAGAACTGTGACGTGGACGAACACATCGATCTACATCAACGATAAGCCCATCTACCTCAGGGGATTCGGCATGCATGAAGACTCAGATGTTAGTATACACTCACACACGCGCGCGCACACACACACACATACATACATACACACACATATATGTATATATAATGAGACGAGTATTTATTTTAAAAGAAACTAATACATATTCGGATTACTATGCGAGTTTTATAATTCTAAAACTGCATACTCCCGACGTTTCTGTTACTTTTCAGCAACCGTGATCACATCTCGTCTGCTCTTGAGTATTTAGTTTTAAAATAATAAAATACACGAAGTAATTGGAATCTTAGTTTTATATATATAATATGTACTGGAGTGTACCAAAATTAAACAAAAAAAATATTATTTCAGTTGCGTGGTAAAGGCTGGGATCCGGTATTGTGGGTGAAGAATTTCAACTTGATAAAGTGGATCGGCGCTAACGCGTTCCGTACCTCCCACTATCCTTACGCCGAAGAAATATATCAACTGGCTGATGAGCACGGCATCATGGTCATTGATGAATGCCCCAGTGTGGATACCGAGTGAGTTTTATACTTACACAAGATATAACATACTAGCTTTCCGCCCGCAGCTTCGTTATATCGCGTTTCCAAGAGAACCTTTCAAAAGTCTGGGATAAAAACTATCCTATGTTCTTTCTCAAGATCAACTCTATCTCTGTACCAAATTTCATTAAAATCAGTTCAGTGGTTTAGGCGTGAAAGCGTAACAAACAGACAGAGTTACTTTCGCATTTATAATATTAGTAATGATCTTTATGTTGCTGAATTAAAATTTATTCTTAAATGTCTATAATAATATTAATAATAATGTTTTTTTAAGTATATTCTCGGATTCCCTGCTAGAGAAACACAAACAGTCCCTCACTGAACTCATAAGACGTGATAAAAACCACGCCAGCGTCATCATGTGGTCTATCTCCAACGAGCCGAGGTCCGCTAACATAAGAGCCGATGCGTATTTCCAGTAAGAATATTATAAATAATTAGTTTTTATTGTTATAAAAGTGTTTTTATAATTATATAATTATTTCAGAAAAGTTGCTAAACATGTCAAATCAATGGATCTATCTCGACCGATAACTATAGCTATAGCACAAAGCCACATTGCTGATAGAGCGGTGAGTTACCATTATTATGAAAAAAAATATCATATATTAATTAAATAGATCGTATTGTTCATCAAGTCCACAAATATATTTTTTTAATAATATGTAACCTACCATTTACATATATTTATTTCTAGCAACACTTCATAAAGATAGTTTATACCATAGACACATACTAATGGACATGCCTTAGAGATGAGAATTGTGGCACTCCGAAAGAGAGAGGAAACTAAGTTTCGGACTTTCTTCATCTCTATCAAATTTATATGCCATGCTTTAATAAAAACGCCAATCATCTATGAGGAAAGAGATAGTGCTACACCGAAAGCATAGGCCATCTCTCTCACTCTTTTCAAACCAAAAAATTACTGCATATACGCGTACGGGACGTCCATTAGTATATGTCGATGGTTTATAGTATTTCTTTAAACAGGGATCTTTAAAGTGGCAATAATTGGGTATCTTACCCTCCAATAAAACATCATTCTCATCATCTTTTCTCATCATTCTCATCATCTTTTCTCATCACAGGGTCAACATCTAGACGTGATATCTTTCAATCGTTACAACGGCTGGTACTCCAACACCGGCTCGTTATTAAACATCGCGTCCAACGTCGCAGATGAAGCTACAGCCTTCAACATCAGATACAATAAACCCATCATCATGATGGAGTACGGAGCTGACACCATCGCTGGCCTACATTTGGTAATTATCTTCATTTATATCAATTATATAGTATTTCCGGGATGTAAAGTAGCCTATGTGTTATTCCTGGACGTCAGCTTCCTGTATACAAGATTTTATCAAAATCGGTTCAGCCGTTTGAGCGTGAAGAAGTAACAAACATGCATACACACTCACAAGCTTTTGCAATTATAATATTAGTAAGATAGTATATTCTGCCAAAGTCACTTATAATTAAGGAGGTTGACAGATTTCAACCTTTTTTCAAAATTAATGGAATTAAATAAATTTTAAATCATGATGATTCAATTTATTTGGACGTATTTTTAGCTTATTTAATTACCTACTATTCAAAGACAGAGGAGTTAAACTAATATGTTATGGTTAATTCAAATAACCTATATATAAATTATTTAGATGTAAAAATTTCAGATCTCTACAATTTTCAATAGTATGTTTTAATATGATATGTTTAATCAGTTGCCAGAATACGTTTGGTCTGAGGAGTACCAAGTAGCGTTGATGTCGGAACACTTCAAGGCTTTCGATCGTTTGCGGCAGGCGGGTTTCTTCGTGGGAGAGTTCATATGGAACTTCGCTGACTTTAAAACTGCTCAGAGTATGTACAATTAGCTAAAATCAATAAAAATCTTGTTAAGGTATATTTAGATACATATTCATTATTTTGCTCACAGACTTAGGTATAGCGAAAGTATTTACGACAAATTTTTATTGTTGAAATATTATTCGATAATCACAGATAAACATTTTCCAAAGTTAACATTTTTATTATACGACATACAGTATACAATTTAAACTGAATATCTTTGTCTTTTTGTTAGCAATAACTCGAGTTGGCGGCAACAAGAAGGGTATATTCACGCGTTCGCGCCAACCGAAGGCGTCCGCTCACCACCTCCGCGAGCGTTACCTCGCGCTCGCCGCCGCCGACACTAACTCGCCACCACCTGAATCACCATACTACGTCAGCGACCACCTACCACTTAAACATGAAGAATTATAACACATACAAAATATATTAAAACCACCGACTAAACTGTTTATTGTTTACATGTTTGATGTTTCAATCGAATTCTTTACCACAGTCGTATAAATGTCATTGTAGTTTACACAGATTAAAAATATTCTGCTCGATATCGCGGTGCCATAGTATACTTATTGACTTGATACCAAAAAGGATTTATATGTCCGATTTTATTGTTACTTTAAAATCCAATTCGAACCGATCTAATATTGATATCGACTAATATTGAGTGAATAGAATAGACTTAATGTGTGAAGATAAATATAATTTTAAATAATAATAATACGACATAATTTATAACTGTTGTATTTTTAGACATAATGTTACGTTATATTATTATGTGAATTTAATATAAATATTTATGTGATGTTTATAAATCTTTAAAGCTTATTAAAGTACAAGAAATACTTTTATTTGTTTGTTGTTTATCCATACCTAAATTTGTACTAAATTAAATGATACTATATATTTACTGAATGATAATAATTCATATGTCCAAGTCCCGGGAAGGTGTTAGCGTGCCAGTAACTTAAACAATTAAACAAAGACACACTCGTTAGAGTGATTTCATTAATTAAAAATATATATATTGCAAGTGAGATCTTCAAAATGTTTCGTAAAAATGATAGTAGTAATGGAATTAGGATTCCTATAATGCCTTGATAAATTGTAGAACATTTTTAATTTTCACAATTACGATTAAAAAAAAACAGAAAACCTCTTAATAGGACCTTTTATTAAGTTTCACCTTTATTTATCCATAACTAAAACCTATCCTCCAGTAACAAATAATATTTTTTATATAATTTAATATGTTTTCGCTTGCAACAACGTTTTTCTTTACGGGTCATCCATTTGCTCCTGTTTGAAATTTAGGAGTAAAAGTAACTAAAGAAATAATTGCTTTTCAATATTAAATAAACATATAAATCAAATTAATTGTGTTTGAACAATTGTTTTTAAGAAAATAAAGCATTGTTTTAATTAACTTAAAAATGTTTTCTCAATTCGACTGTTTTTGTTTTACTTCATTGTATAAGTCACTAATACGTTATTAATATATTTGGGCATAGCTTCAGAATCTATTTTAATTTTCCTTTTAACAAATTTCATTTTTAAAAGTAGTAAAAGTCACGAAAATTATTTATTACACTTTTGATAAAAAGAATCTTAAGGCACAGTTGCGTCAATGGTGGCCTAGTGGTTAAAAGGCCCGCCTCTCATGCACGAGGACGCGGGTTCGATCCTGGCCCTGGCAAGTACCAATGTGATTTTTCCGAGTCATAATATGTACTTTCTAAGAGTATTTAGACATCACTGATTAATGCATTCCCAAAAGAGGGTTGATGTCAGACAGACTGCCGGTCTTACAAACATTTAGCCAAAACTATTCACAACATATAAGACACACCCTGGCTAAAGCTGGGAAATTGCAAGGTAGAAGAAGAATCTTAAGGCAAAACATATCTATATAAAAGTTGTAATTTTTTTTTTGGCCCAAAATGAATTAATTAATTTTAATTATCTTTATTTGGAACCATCTCTGAAGTGTATTAACGAACAAAAAGGAACCTCCAAATGAATTAATATTCATCGAAGTGATAACGCAACGTACATACATAAAAAAAAACATGGTTAAAAATTGACATAATAAGCCTACTTCACAATATTTAAAAATCGATTCACAATATGTTCTCTGCTTCTGTAGACTAATTTCATATACCTAATTATGACAGTATTTTTACTTTGTTAATAATATTATTAATACTTATACGTATATGAGAATCTAGAATGTAAAATTCTCTTTGGTCTCAAATAAAACGATAATAAACCAATCTGCAATATTCTTTTCATATTATTGGGAAAGATATTTTCTCGTACGTATTATCATAATACTTATAACCTTTATAAAATATATTTCACCTCTTTTAAGAGCCGATATTGTGCTTTTGTTCAATTTATCAATATAATAACATGTTCTATAAGATAAAATAAGCGATTCATATCTTTAAAATTTATAGAGCATCCGTTTTAATCTGCAGTTTGATAATTTTTAATGAATGAAAATAAAGAAAAAAACGTGAAGATAACAGACATAGCGGTTATTAAAATTTCATTTTTATAAATTAAACATCAAGAGTATAATATCCGAAAGTTATATTAAAGTTGTTTGACCTGAAGACATTTTTTCATTAAGATAATATTATATCAATATTTCATTTATTATAAGCAATATTTTATTTTAGAATGTCGTGGTGGGCTTTTTTTTTTTAATGGGAAAATCATCAAATGACCCCTCTTGCCTGGGTGGGGCAAGAGGGAGTGTCAGACTCTTACTGACTAAAAACCCCCCGTACCTACTCCTGCTCCGAGCCTGGCCGCGGTACATCATTGCGCTTACACCCGCGACCTGGCCAGGATGTCGTGGTGGCCTGGAGGTTAAAGACCCGCCTCTAGTGCATGAGGGCGCAGGTCCGATACCTGGCAAGTGCCAATGTAATTTTTCCAACTCATATGTACTTCCGAAGTGTATATAGACACCACTGACAGATGGTGAAGAAAAACATCGTTTGAAAACCTGAATTTATAGTTTCAAATTATTAGTTAGAAATCACCAACCCGTCTCGAGCAAGCGCGGCGTGGTTCTTCAAAAGTTCTCCATGTAAGGAGAGGCCTTTGCTCACCAGTATGTTCTGACAGGTAGATGATGATGAAAATTACACTCAAGGGAACAAATACTTTAAAAAAATCGGTGTTTAAAAAAAATACTACCAAAGTAATTTACTCGTTAATTTTTATAATTTCATGATCTGAGTTTCACATTTTATTATTTTAAATTGTCCTATAAAACATGCATTCTATAATTAATACACTAAATAGAGAATAATAGTGGACTTAAAAATTAGGATTTTACTAACAGATAATCCTTTTAAATACTACGACAAAATTTTATGTACTCTTTTGATTAATGTCAAAGTAAATGTCAGGTTACTATGTGTCAAATGTGACAACTTTAACTGACAACTTTAACTGTTTAATGTTTATATACATAACCTTTAACTGAAGCAAAGTTTAAATTTTTCAGCAAATTAATTTTCGTCCTATTTAAGAAAAAGGAATATTGGATAACGTTTAAGAAACATTAACAATAAAAATGGATTGTGTACATTGCGGTGAAGAATCGAAATATAAATGTCCTATTTGTCGTCAACCATAGTAAGTATTATACACTTTCTTTTTTTTTTAATATATTGGGTTTTATTCATAGAAAATGTGTTACATAGTTGTTCAGTTGCTTGCTGTAAGCTGCACAAAGAGAGTAAATGTGAGCCACCTGTTCAACAACCTCAAATTACACAAGAATACGTAAAACCATACGAGTTTCCAACTGAAAATACTGTGCCTTTAGAAAAATTGAAGTTATTGGGTATGTATCAGTAAAAGATAAGTTAAGTTTTAGAATAAACTATTTAAACATATAACTAATATCTCAAATACATTTTTTTTTCAGAACAATCAAAAGAATTAAAAAAATGTCTTGAAAATCCACATGTTAGGGAAATACTAACATTATTAGACAAATCTACATATCCAGATGTACTGATTGATGAATACATGCAAGAACCAATATTTACAGAATTTGTAGATGCATGCTTGAAGGTTGTTCAACCAGAAGAATAAAAATTTATATATTCATATTGAACTTTTTTATATTATGCCGTGGTTGTTGACCTTTAAGTACAAGTTGTTTGTTTTTTAGTAAAAAAGTATTTAAATTATAACAATTAAATCTTGTTAAGATATCCCAAGATACATTAATTATGCATGGAATTGGGTGTTAATGTAAAAAAACAATAGTCTCAGACATATAATTAAAACATGATTTAATATTGGACAATACTTTTCATTGATTATTATATGGACAACTCTTAACACACTTATATGCAAATATTTCAAACAATTTGGACATTAAAAAGTTGCATAAAAACTAATGACAAGACATCTTCATGTATAACTCAGGGAAATTTAGAATTGCTGACAAAAATTATAAAAATATGTAGGTACAAGTAATGATAGTTAAAGATTTTGTTGTGGAATGTAATAGCCTAAAGTTACTGATATGTTATTTTCAGTGTTGTATACTTATTGTAATCATGAAAGCCGCATTATAATCCATAAATATTTGAAGGATGTTGTTAAACTATCCAGAAGTATGCCAAATATACATATTTGTTATCAAACCAGATTATATACACCAATGATTATCAGTACCATATAGTATGTAGAAAAATTAGTTGATACCAAATATATTTAGAGCAATTATACTATTATTATTACTGCCTTGATTACACTATATTATAAATGAGCTATCAATTATTCCTTGTCATATTTACTAAGCTTAAAATTCTCAGTTCTTATAAACTGACTTTAATCAAACTTATATTTTTCATTAATGTCAACTCTCATGTACTCATCAACAATAAAAAGTATTATAATATCAAAATGTAACTTCATTAATTTTCTTTTTTCATTAAAATACATTTTCCAAGAGCATAGTAAAATAATTAAATAGGTTAACTATGTGTTATCTATAAGCGGTTTAAATCAATCTGAACAAAAACAATCCATTAATAAAAATCATTTTTTTGATTTATTTAAAAAAAATAGTAATTACATTTACTACAACAGTCTTATTCATACATTAGACAGAGCCATCATTAAGAGATTTTCGAGTTCATCTGATTTTTTCTTTTCTTCATCCAGTCGTTTCTCTAGTTCAGACACAGCATCATGGCAGGAGTTTAATATTTGTATACTTTGATCTGCCCTCTGTATATTGTCTTTGACCAGAGAGCATTCTTTGTCTTCCAACATCAACTGTTCCACTGCACCACAACTTATTTTGCGACGTTTTGCTTCTATATAATAGTCCAAATCATCTTCGCAATCTAAAGCTCTATGTTTAATTCCAGCATAAACATCCACCTCTAACAACAAATTCGTATTTCTGTATTCATCCAAAGCAGGTTTTAAATAAACAGCCAATCTATTATCAAAATTGTCGAGACTATTAATTTTTTCATACACAATAACATTTAATACATCGACTAGATTGAGCTGGTCAAAATATTCATCAGATATTTCATGAGGCGTATTAAATTCACACAACTCTTGTGGTATAAGAGCAACTACTTTGCACATAACGTCATCGGGATTGGAAAACCAGCCAATTTGTTTGCAGTATTTACCAATTTGTTCTTGCATATTTACAATGGTTTTTGGTAGAAATTGAGAAGACGGATCTGGAAGTTTTAACTTGTGCATTATTCTCTTTATAAAATTAGTATTATCTGTTTGTTTTGCACTGCTCGGTATAAATTCAAATGGCTTGGGATATGGGGATGAGCTATCTAAATACTTGACAAATTCTAGAGGAAATGAAGGATAATTAAATAGGTCTTCATTGGTTATAACATTACATAACTTGTCAACTGCTTTGTTGTAACAGGTTACTAGTTTTTGTAAATCTTTAAGTACGTAATTAGTCCTATGATCCTTATCCGACTTCAACCTAGCCCATATATCATTACCAAGATATCTTTGACAGATAGATTTGAGATAATCTATCTCGAGAGGTGGAGGTTTTGGATAGTTTCTGGATAGCCACTTTAAAGCGCTTTTAGTACAAGAATCCATTGATTTGTCAACATTCATAGAATCCACATAAAAAAATCTATATGCTGATATGATATTGTTATTCAGCCAAAACGTAAATTTTTCTTCTAGACATCTCCTGTCTATAATAGTTTTATTTGGCATAATGACTGCGATGGGAATTATTTGATATTGATGCTTCTGTTTCATTATGAGCTCAATAATTGAGTCAATGTTGCTATCATTTTCTGTAACGTATACTAATATACCATTTGCGCCACTTAAAGCTTCATTAGACTCTTGTAAGGTATCTTTATTTAATAAACTAATAGATATAGCAAAGTCCATCAATTTATTCCACGATTCTTTTTCCACGTGAATCAAACCATCGCCTATATCATGCCGTCTCCCATCGCTAAAGACGTCTTGAATCCATTTTCTAACATTTATTTTTCTATGTAAATATTCATTAGCTCCAGGAGATACTACTAAAGCTTTCCAAAAGAAACACTTGTCGTAGGGATATTCTATTTGTTTCATACGTTTTATAAGAGGCGACCTTATTATATCTAGTAAATTATATTGCTTAGGAGTAGGGAGTTGTTTCAATTCACCAACAAATTTATATCCTCTGTGAATAGCATTCATATTATCCAGGGCAGATTTCTCCGACCGCCTTTTCCATAATCTCGCTTCCTGTAACGGACTTCTATCTGGCAACCACAATGGCGTATCGTCTAGAAGACTGCGTCGTTTGAAATTTCTCATAAAATGTTTACGCCAAATATAATACCATTTCTTCATAATCCTATTGGTTCTAAATATTTCAGCTTTTAATTCTGATGTACATATTTCGTTTAGCAATTCCATAGTTATATTTTCATTAAAATCGCGTGCGTATGACAGCAACTTGTTAAAGTCCTCCACTTCCTCTTTCAGTATACTTCTGACTGTTTCTTCTTCTAATTCATTAACAAGTTCTTCTATGAGTTCTTGAGATTCTTTTTCAACTCGTTCCTTGAATTTTCTCTCTTTTTCTTCTGCAATTCGTTTAAGTTCGAGTCGTTTTTGTTCTTCCATTTTCTTTCTTAATTCTTCTTGTTTTTTTGCCTCTTCCTTTTTCTTTATTTCTTCTAATTTCTTCGCTTCTTCTATTCTTCTTTGTTCTTCCCTCTTTCGTTCTTCTTCCTTTCTTAGTTTTTCAGCTTCTAATCGCTTTATTTCTTCTTGCCTTTTTATTTCTTCCTGCCTCTTAATTTCCTCTTCTCTCATCTTTTGTTCAATATCTTGCTCGTGTTTCTCAGTGTTATCTTGATTGGGATCGAAATCGTAAACATCGGTCTGTGGTGCTTTAACTGAATTGAATATATTATCAGCAACTGTCTGAGCTTTGTTTTTACTTTGAAATATTGTAAATTTGTTGCTTGGAAATGATGGTTGGTTGGCACTTTTGAATAAACTTCCTGGGGACGTCGCTGTTGATGGATCGCCATTAGAATAAGGAACTGGATTCGTATTGTTATTTCCTAATTTAAAAGTAGATTTTGCTGTAGTCTCATTGCTGCTTGAGCCAAAAATGCTCGAAACTTGTCCCAGATTACTGGGTTTATCTTGCATTGGCTTAGAAAAGATATTAACATTTTTATCATTGCTTTCTTGCGTCTTACCAAATACATTTGGTCTACCGGTTGAGAATATATTCTTTGGATCTGTTTGTGAAAATAATGTGCTTTTTGTAAATATATTGCCACTCGTGGCTTCGTTCTTGTTTATTTGTTGTCCAAACATAGAATTACTAACTGGTTTCTTAAAAACATCACTAGATTCAGAAGGTTTAAATGCACTTTTAGCAACTTCAAAGACATTCTTGCTATTGTTTGCTGACGCGAATATGTTCGGCTTCGATAAATCTGCGTTATATTTATCGTTATCCTGACGTGAAAACAAATTCGAAGATAACTTAGATTGGTACACATTTGTTTCAATCTTCTGAGGCTTGGAGAAAGTGAATATGTTTTTCGGACTATCCAACACTTTTTCCGGTGAGTTGGTTATTACTTCTGTTGGTGCTACCGGAATAGGTGGTTGGAAGGAAAATTTATTAATATTTGAATTAATCTCAACGGCAGGTTTAGCAAATACGGTTTCTCGTCTAGGACTGTCTTCTTGTTTAACAAATAAAGTCTTCCTTGGCTCAATCTTCTGTGACACACCAAGTATTCTGCCTTCCTGCGAAAGTTTTTGCATCTCTAGTTTTAAGGCCTGGACATCTTTTTCGCTATCGTTTATGGTATTATAACCTAAATCTTCAGCTAATAAAGAAACTTCTTTCAATCTGCCATCAATACTGAAGCTCGTGTAAAGAGGTACGTTTTCAAAATCATATCTAGGCATTTGACCGCCAGATATAATCTCACCGACTGTATTTTGCCTCTTCGATTCTATGAGATTTATGGCTCTTGATAACGGATATGGGTCACTGTCTTCAATGAATTGATTTCTGTTCAGAATTATTGTTAATTCTTCATCATTTTTCGCGAATCGCAGGCCATAGTGATTTATGAATGACTTCATGCTCTCTATGGATTCGAAAGCTAGAATATTCAGCATATCTTCCGCTGGGTAACGAGCCCCGCCTCTAGGTGCATACGCTTTTACTATTCTGGCTAAGGCCCTAGCTCTGACGTCATTGAAATATCTCAATAGAATACACGCTTGAAGGTATGTCGCTTTCTCTTGGATGAGGCGGAAGAATCTCACATAATTATTATTATCAAGAGCAGCGTATATTTGTAAAGCGAAAGTTATTGATTCAGATTTCTGGATCTCATATGGTAGTTGTTTTATCTGAAAGGAAAAGAAAGAAAAATTTAGGAAATATTTAATTTTGTGTATAATGTATAGTATAATAAATTAGTACTACACACACCTCCCACCAAAAGTTAGCATCACCGAGATTCAACAAAGCAATATATCCTCTAAATTCAGCCTCATTAGGTTTATATTCAGGGCTAACATCTGCATACATATGTTTTAATGTTTGCAGACATTTAGTCAGATTGTCCGTGTTCAACTTCTGATCAAACTGAGTATGTTCTAAGTCAGCTAGTCGAGCCGCACAGTGTGCGTGGAAACGAGCGCAGATCTCCACCATTTTGATTGATTCTGAAACATATAATATAATCATATACCAAAATAGTAACCCTTAAATATTTTAATACTTCATTCTCTACTAAGTACTATATCTTCTTCTTCTACCTAGCAATTTCCCAGCTTTAGCCAGAGTCTGCCTTAGATGTGTGACTAGTTTTGGCTAATTGTTTTTACGACCGGCCGCCTGCCTGACAGCAACCCTCTTTTGGGAATGCATTAATCAGTGATGTCTAAATACTCTTAGAAAGTACATGTGATTCGGAAAAATCACATTGGTACTTGACCGGGCCAGGATCGAACTTGCGCCCTCGAGCATGAGAGGCGGGCTTTTTAAATTTTAACCACTAGGCCACTATAGGTACTATATATTATATATATATTTACCAGCGCAACACAAAGCTTGCTGTGTGATATCCTTACGAATTCCACGAAATCTATCCCACATGAAGTGAAACCAGTCAGCCAGGGTCACCTTGAAAATTATGATTGTTTAATATTAAAATTATACTATAATAAATAGACTGTTGCATGACTATAAGAAGGGAGGGAATTTATACTTGAAACTTTGATGTTAATACAAAACTAAATATATAATGCATCATAAGCACTTGTTTATGTATATTAAACTTAATTCAATATATAAAGCCTTTACTCAAGAACATAGTATACACATATGTTGTAAATAATATTTTAAAAACAAACCTTTCAAAAGTCATCATGTATATCCATAATATGATATAAATTCATACATAACTTACAATAGTCTACAGAAAACCGTTTCTAATATAAAAAATGACATATTTTGTCAAAATGTATACCTGTCTATTAGTGTCAGCGATTTCATGTAACAAATATGAGCAAGTTCTCATGAGAACCTGAGCCGGCCTAAGTTCATAACACATAGGTATCTCTTGGTCCGCTGAACTACGGCTGTATTGTTTAACCGCGCGCCAGGGTTCCAATAGACCATCTGAACCAGGAATGGTCTCTAATGTCATTACCTGTAAAATAATTATACACTTTTAATGATTATGCCTTTCATATTAATTATTTAATGCATTTGTATTATAAGTAACATAGTTTTTCATCCCTACTAATATTATAAATGCGAAAGTAACTCTGTCTGTCTGTTACGCTTTCACGCCTAAACCACTGAACTGATTTTAATGAAATTTGGTACAGAGTTGACCTTGAGAAAGAACATAGGATAGTTTTTATCCCAGACTTTTGAAAGGTTCTCTTGGAAACGCGATATAACCGAACTACACGCGACCGAAGCTGCGGGAGGAAAGCTAGTTATTCATAAGTATAAGCTGTTATATTCAAGTTTAAATGTAATCCATTTCATAATTTTAATGTAACAAGATTAACATACATCCATATTCCATACAAAGTCATAGACATTAATATTTTATATTAATATTAGGATACAGATTTCTATCTGGTTTCACAACCCATTGTGATATATGTATTACTATTTTAATAACTATTAATATTGATTTACCTGATGTTCAGACTGTCGATGTAACAATTCTTTCTCTGGACACATATCAGGACATGTTCCAATAGTCGCTCCACCAACCTTTACTCTTGAACCAGCACCGCCCCAAGCTCTTAAAATCCTAATTAAAGAAATACATTTTTATAACATAAATACTTTAAACTGTTTGCTTGTAAGATTATTATAATTCCAATGATTATTATCAAAATTGTATTAAAAATTCTTAATATCCTGACTTGATCTTCTCAATAGTCGTTTAAGTTCTTGCTTAAATCCAAAATCTATTAAGATATTTAAATAAATCTACTATTAATAGTTGTTTATACCTATCTCTAGCATCCAACGTCCTCCATTTCTCATCAGGAGTGAGGGAAACTCTGGATCTTAGCTTGTCTAATTCCATGGCAGCTTCACGATTACTGAGTGTGGTGGCCGTTACAACTATCGGAGCTTCAGTATATGCTGGTTGATTCCTACAGTGAGTAAGACAAACAATTCATTGTTTTAACTTTTTTATAATTATTTATATGCTATCTTATTATATATGGTAGAAATTATATATTGTCGGGGATAGTGCAAATCCGTGCAACTAACATTGGATAATTCCGCATATCTACATTGGAAGAAGATTATCAGAAGAAAGTTTAAGCTGAAATATTTTCTAAATGACCTTAAAAGTTGTTAATATAATTAGTAGTGGCACGGATTAGCACTATCTCCGACGATATTTCTTTTGACACCTAATATAATAATATTCTCTTTCTGTTTATAATTAACATATAATGTAAATTTATATTGATGACTTACATTACGATAGGTTTAGTGCGTTTCGGTGTTATTGGAATTTTCTTCTTCATTGGTGGTGCCATTGCTCTGGCCTTTGATATGACTACACCAGATGCTATACCTGGTACTGTAATACAAATTTCATTAACATACATATTGAGATAAAATAAAATTTTATATATTTACTTGACAACAAATTTAACTGGACAAATATTAATATGACAACTTTCTCATACCATAAACATGTTTTATTTAAACACTGTTCTTTTAAAAATATCTATTGACATAACGAAACTTATACAAGACTTCAATATTTTAATTTAGATTGTAATATAAGTAATTCATATGGGGAGTATAACTCACATTTCTTCCTGGGAACTTTGTAAGTCTCTATACCACTCATAGCATTTAATTCCTGTTCCACTTCAGGATCCGGAACCCAATCAGGGTCTTCGTCTTTTGAACTTTTCCGCCTCCTATAAACAAATAAAATAACTATATTTAGTAAACTTATTGCTATAATCTATAATGAATGAAAATTCTCGAAATATATAGATACACAATCTATACTAATATTATAAAGCTGAAGAGTTTGTTTGTTTGTTTGTTTGTTTGAAAGCGCTAATCTCCGAAACTACTGGTTCGAATTTAATAATTCTTTTTGTGTTGGATAGTCCAGTTATCGAGAAAGGCTGTGGGCTATATAACATCACGCTAGGACCAATAGGAGCAAAGATATAGTGGTAAATGTGTTAAAAACGGGAGAAATTGTTTCATCTTTGAAGCCTTCGGTTGCGTGCGCCGAGAAAACGGTTCAAGATACACAAAAATATGTATTAAAGAATAATAGCTCTTTTAATGATCTAAAAAACAATCCGCGACAGTATATGTCTATCTTTTAAGATTAACTCACAAAAACCGTTTTTATGGTACATAAATAATTTGGTCAAAATAATTTGTTAAAGTTGTATCAACATAATAATATTAATCTTTATTCAAATAAACAAATAAATATGTTGTTGGTTAAGAGTACTTCATTGTGAATAAAAAAAAACATTTGGTTTTATCCTGAAAATTCTACGGGAACTCGACCATTCGATTCGAACTATGTGGGAAGAACCAAAAATCTGCCGGAAGTCACTATTCCACGCGGACGGAGTCGCGGCAGAAGCTAGTTAAATTTAAAATTAATCAACAGTTTATATATACAGCTTCAAATCTATGTGTAAAATATTCATTTAATTTGTATCAACCACTCTAATGAGTAATGACATTCAAAACTCCATAAACTACATAATAAGAATTTGTCCGTCTTATGGTTCAGTTTTAGTTTTTAATTTAATCTTTTCATTGTTTATTTAAATTTTTATTTTATTCTGTAAATTTACCTATTTTTTAAAATTTTTGCTTTTGTTTTTACTGCGGCTTGCGCTGGGAGGTCTAATTTAGATAGAAATTAAGCATGATGTATCTACTTATAAATGTTTGTCGCACCTAGTTTTAAGTTATGTGTATTGTGTATTTTTCCTTAAATATGTGATGATGTGAACAAATGTTGGTGGATCAAATAAATAAATAAATAAATATACTTAATGAAGAAAGAGTATTAATGAGATGAACTATAATACTAACACTCTAGGCTTTGATCGAGTGACATCGAACATAAAACCGTCAAAAGCACCAGCATTCAGGACAGCCCTCTCTGCAGCCCCAGGGTGGTCATATTCTATAACACACATATGCTTCTTGGGCAGCAGTCTAATCCTCTGTACACGGCCAAACTTACAGAAATGCTTCTCAGCAGTCTTGGCTTCGAATAAGCAGTCAGGAACATTAGAACATCTACAACGAAGGACAAATTACTCGATTAATGAACTCTTGGTGTATCGATTACCAAAAGTATTAAATGAACTTACGTGATGGACGTCCTATTATTGACCTTATCTAAAATGGATCCTCTTAATTTCTTCTGCGGGCTATTATCCATGTTTACAAAATTCAGTGTTTATAACCTAACAATCATATATGTGGTGTATATGGATAAATTAAATAATGAATGTGGGGATGGTAAACTAATTTACATTTGAAATATTTAGTTTCATTAAGAAGCTTATTTTATAAACAAATACGCCACACAGATAACTGATAAATGACAATTTTTGTGGACGTAAAGCGGTTAGAAGTTAGAACTGTCATTTCATTTTAATTTGGAATTTTTGACAGTTAACAAAACAGAGTACAAAATTTAAAACAGCATATAAATATATGGGTATTTAAAAAAATCGTAAAGATTGAAAAAATATTAAATAAATTTGATTCCGATAATTTCTTTAGCCTCAAAAATGTAAAACGCAGACAACATTTTGAAAAGAAAAAAAGCACATACTTAATGCATCCAACATCATTTATTTTATCTGTTATGATAAACTAGAAAAAAGTGTTTTAATAATTTTTTTAAAATAATTTATGCACAAAAAAATAAACGTTTAAAATGCATTATCACATTTAATTTACAAGTATAAATTGTAAATTAAAAAATAACTTAAATGTTTATTACTTGAATCATGACGCAAAAAGCGTTAAACTGATTTGGTCAAAATCGACAAACAGATACACCATGACCCGGATTACGTCATATGTATGTATCATTTTAATTGAATTTTATATCTCTTAGTGAGCCATATATTTATATGTCAAAACAGATTTATTTAGTTTTTATTATACATCTTAGGTCTCTAAAATACATTAATTAGTCTAAAAGACATTATGTTAATACTGAGTAGTCAAATTATGAAATAAGTCCTATATACTTTAAGGTTAAAGGGCTAATTCTAAGAAGATTCTTTTATAATTCTATCTCAAAGAAAGGTAATATTAAAATACTTCCTCCATTTAAAGAGTTTCATTAGACTTTCACCTCTTTCTTCATTTTCACTGAGGTGAATATTTATATAAATATTAAATTGCATTTCCATGAATGAATATATTTCTGGCTTAACAAATTTATAATCAATGTAGTTAGCATTGAATTCGCATTCATATTATTTGTATGTTGTTGTCAAGGCCACAATAATTTTGTTTCTTCGCCCGTTTGAGATAGAAAGCGTAACAAATAAACTGACATTTAATTTTTAAATGGCATTAGTCATTAAAACCTTCACGGTGTGTTTGTTAAGAAATATCTTGACTGCAGTAATATTACGTAAATGTATTGTTTTATCTCATTATTCGTTAAAAAAAAAGGTTTTATTATATTTTTAGAGTTGAAAAGTATTTATAATTCTGATTTGGCTGTAGGTGGTCATGTAATGATATCCGGATGTTCCCGGATATAGCTGTCGCTTTCGAATACAGATCTATTAATGAACTGATTCACGCATGACACATTCACAGATTATACTAATAGGCAATATTGGAAACGCTAATCATATGTATACAGCTTAATTTCCTTAAGTTATCAAACATTATTTATTTGAAATTAAAACTTAAATAACTTGATTTACTTTTTATTTTGTAACAATAAATGTTGATTTTTATTAAGGACCGAATGTGTATTTAATTTAAAACTAATAAAAATATGTTATAAACATGTTTTTATATACGTTTCTATTTTTTAGAAGTCTGGAGCATTTAAATTCTATAAGCAAATTTACATTTTTTTAAGAAATATTGCAGACGTATACAATCTCTTAAAAAAATTCTTTGTAAAAATATGAATATGTATACAATTTTAAAAACATTCTAATTATTGCTTATATTTTAATGTTATTTATAAGACGAAAACATATCAATAATTTATTTTAAATTTTTCTTCGACTGTGTTTGTTGAATTCTTAAATGTTTGAGGAGATTGTTTTCATTTATATAATAGAAAACTTTACAGATTATTAAGTGTGTATAATAAAAAAGAATTGCATCAAAAATATATTAAATTGCATGGCTAATATATTATAATAATCATTACACCAATAATATTACACCAAAAATCAATACAATTCCCACAACAGGAAGTTACATCAGTACAGGCTAGGTGATGTGGTGAATCAGTGGTGACGTCACACCAATAAATTCGGGTGTCGCATTCCGGGCGATTATATAAAAGAAAGTGGTCCGGCCGCGAGGCGACCTTGCGCGGTGAAAGGCGTGCCGCAAGTGGCACAGCCGTGAGCCGGAACTCGATCTTCCCACGAGCCGTGGCTGTTCCGTTATGATCAACTTTCGGTAACCGGTCGCTGGTTGGCGAAAAAAAAAATGCAGCATTCAAATTTAGAACGACGCCAGCTATGTGGACATTAAAAATGTATGAATATATTAGCTTGGAATCATCTGGAACAACGAAACATTGTTGGATGTTTCGATTTGATTTAGAAATGTTTTTAGTGGAGTTGATTTAAGAAACTATTGTCATTCTAGGAAGAAGAAAGACGAAAGTTTAACTGACTACCATTACTTTTATTTATTCTATTAGTCTTATCTATCGAATGTGTATAAGAACTATGTATCTGTAAGTATGTATAAATTGTATCAATGCCATCAGTGCCTGATTTATCCCCGATGACGCGACCTCGATAGCTAATAAATGTAACACTATTTCAATCTGACTAAAACGTGCCTACACGTACTAAAATTTACATTACAAACTTGCTGTATAGTTTATAAATATCCATTTTTTTCTATATTTTGAATCGAAATTAACAGTCAGCTAACGTCAATTCATTAATAATATTTTTTAACATAATTCTTACTTTAGTTAGAGATAAAACCAAATTAAAAGCAGATATTATAATTAGGCACTAATAAGATATCACGGCTTCCATTAAGAATAGGGTATGAGATTTCGGTAAATATTAATTAGAAAGTTAAAACTGCATGGAGTTTTATATTAAGAATCTCTATACAAAGCACAGAAAAAAAAATACATAAATGAAAGAAACGATGACAGAAGCTTTTATTATAAGTGTGAGAGAGATGTAAGATGGTTACGGAACGGTGGCCTAGAATTTAGACAATTTCCGACTGCCACGAGCCGGCGCGAACGTCTTAGCAACAGAGCGAGTTTACTTGCAGTGGAAGGACGCCTTGTCGTTCACACGACGTTCATGTATATTATAAGCAACCAATATTTTAAATGCACAACACGATTACGTTATTCTATCATATACAAACATAATAAATACTTTCTAAATATAACTCATATACAAGAGATTGATATTGAAGTGTACCGAGTGGTCCACCTGCATTAGTTTCGCGGGCATCGGACAATAGACGGCGGCGCGTGCTCGGTTGTCGGCCGCGAACCCGGATGCGTCTGTGTGACGTAACTCAGACGCCCCCCCCCCCGCGCCCCTCGACCGTCGCCCTTCACCCCGCGCCCCCCTGACATGCACCTCTTCGCGTCTGGCCGGTCGTCTGTGCCGGCTTTGATCTCAATGTAGCCCTGTTACTTTATTAATTAATACCTTATAGGGCATGCCCAGTAACAGATGACTATAATATCACAGATAATAATAGTTATTAACCTCGAATGATATGCGTTTGACCATTGTATTGAACTTTTAAACAAACATCCAAAATTTATATAATCTGTATTATCTGAAAGTCGTAAAATACAATTTTAGAGTCGCGAAACATTTTACGACGTATAATTAATTTCTACCATGTTTTTAATTTGAGGCTAATTAGTGAAAAAAATAATTACTGTATATTTTTTAATTGTATAATAACGTTATATACTTGTCACGGTCGAAAGCAAAGAAAGATTTAATTTTATGACTGTGCGTTTCTTAACGAATTGCATTTAAAATGTTTACTATTGGACATTTTATTTTCACGGAAAATAGTTATTGATTATTATGAACCTTCTCTTGACTTTTCACAGATAACTGTTATTACAATAATTGTAAATTATATTACATGTAAAAGATAATATTTGTAATATTTTCATTCCTATAATTCATACGGACAAAGATTCTTCGTAATCAGTTGTATGTGAAGTATTTTCAATATTGGAGAACTATTTAATACATAATAGGCATATTTTTATTATAACATAAATATTAAATACATTTAATAAGCGTTTAAAGATTTTCGAAAGTTTCGATCATCCGATGACTACACAATAAAGTTTAGAGATCAGTCAAATAACCTTGTTGCTTGTGAGCAATGAAATGAGTACATCACTGACTCATTGCTGTACAAAATATCTCTTTTTCAAAATTATATCTTAATACATATTAACATAAGTACTAAATTAATTTGTTGTCTTTGTCATTTTATAAATTTCACTATAATACAGATTATGAAAATAAATTACATACAGATAAAAAATATATTAACAAGAAAACAGTTGACATGTCAACGTCATAAAAACATATTTTCATACATTTTATTTATTTCCCTTTTAGAATAGAAATGTATATAATAATAGTTAGGTGAAACGTACAAATGTTTCGAAAGTTAGATCCAATTAAAGTGTGTCGTGTCGGAGAGTGATGAAACTTGCGATAGTTCGCGTTCGTACCAATGTCCAATGGCGAATCTGCTTACATATTATAGAACGAGGACCGACGGCATTCCTCAAGGCCGGTCATTCATACCGATATATATATACATATATATTAGTGTTGTTTTAGTTTTATTTTCTTCTCTCACACTATTTATACCTACGGAAATACGCCATTTATTCATATGATAAAAACTGTACAGCAATTTCTTTATAAAACACCTCATTGATTTAAGGAAATCTAATGTTGCGTTATCGATTCTAATTATGTGTTATCGATTATTTTCATTTCAATTAATTATTAACTTATTCTTATTAATTTTATTTAAGTTAATGATGTAATAGTGACACTACAATAATTAAATTAAGTAGTTTCTGAATTACTGAACTAATAAGTACTGGCAAGATAAAACTCTTTTTAACTATTAAAAAAACATGAAAAATATTTTAGTTGTTAAACGCCGTTGTTGTGTATATTATTATAA